GCTGCTTCTCGCTTCAATGAGGCATCTGACAAGTATGTCCCGTCATTCGGTTCAACGAGGCATTTGACCGACAACGATATTTTTCTCGGTTCAAGCCCCTGACCACGTATGAAGATCCAACCATGCGCGCCCAGTCCTCTCGTACCCTCTTGCCCACCTGCTCACAATTTTCACAGCCTTAGTGGACCACATCGTCAATCGGCACTGAAATCGACTTTACTACGGAAAAACAAAACAGGTGAGTGAGGCCGGTGGTGCAAGAATACGGAATAGAGGAGCACCATAGAGGAAGTGACGGGATCATCCACTACTGTAAACGAGAGGGAACAAGCAATGGTCGATGCCTCCGGACGCCGTATCGCTGCTGTAGTAGTCTAGATATCAGTGCTCGTACCCACGACTGCACGTAGAAATAGTCTAGTGCGAAAAGACAACGCTCAACGACACTCAGTCAGGGTGACGAAGACGAAGTTGCACCGAGATTCCCCTCTTGTACGAGTGCCACAGCCACGGGTAATCAATCAATGTGAAATGTCGTGGAGGGTAGGCAACCGCCGCGTTGTAGGTCGTCGTCTAGGCAGCGCTTGGACCTGTTGTGGCTCACGGCATTGACCTCGCCGAGTCTGCCTTATCCGACTGTGCAAGTAACTACTGCTGTGCCCGCTTCCTCCGTGCAATTACTGATCCGTTTTCTTTTGCTCTCTACAGACAAGTGTGGCACATTTCGCGAAAAAATATGTACGCTTCTCTCTTTACGAGAATGATCATCATCGCGGCGTTGGCGGTAAGCGCCTTCTCCGTATCATCCCCAAGCCACGAGGTGCCCTCAAGTACCGCACCAGGGTGAGTCACACTGACTGGGGTTAGTCAGTCAAGCCGACCCACCCGTCTCCAGTTCAAGCCTAGATTTTGCCAAATATACACCTCTCGCGCGCATAGCTTGAGACAATTGTGATTCGTTGTCTTCGATGAATGAATGTGGCATCGTTGCTCTTGGTGTCCAACGGTACAAGCAGGGTGCTTAATCGAAAATTGTATTTTGCACCGTTTAGACTACTGTTGATTGTAGCCCAATCAATGGCGAGGTCCATCAGGTCGGATTAACGACTGAAAAGAAAAATGAGAATCGTCATGACGGTATCCTGCTGTAGGTGTCCGTTAGCACTTCGTCCCATATACTATCAGTGCTCGCAGTATCCATCCTCCGTGTGGCAGGAGCGCTCTTGTCCGGGGTCTCACACAGACGGTTCCTCTAAAGTTGCATGCCGTCAGGGCGTTAGGGCAATATGGACCCACGAATCCTCTCCCCGCGGTCTACAACAGCTTCAATTCGAGATAGGTGTACTTCACGAAGAAGCACTACTTACGCGGCGTCCCGGCGACAGTCGAACGCGTAACATTGTCTTCTCGGCGCTTGAGGGCACGCCAATAGACCAATAGACCACGCCAACGAACCACGGCGGCAGTGCGAGTAGAACACGTGCGTAGAGAAGTCCAAGTAGAAACCAGGTCACAGCAACGCACAACCTTCTCGTGTATCCAACAACGAAATCAATATAATCTTGTTACCTCCACCAACGCGCCGCCCGTCGAACATACAGGCACAATGACTCCTTCGTGGACAAGGTGTTCCTGTTCGTGACCACGGTGGGCATCGGGGACGCCTCCCCTACCCCGCCGCTGACCCGCCTCCCGTCGGCCGAGGAGAGCCCCGACTACTTTCCGCTCACCATCATCCCGCCCCTGTGGCGCGTGGAGGATGCGGCGGCTGGTGCGGCCGAAGAACAACAACGGCCGCGCGAAAACTGGCTGAAGAGCATCGTCGCCACCATCATGGTGGCCGTTCGCTTCCTGATTGGCCCTAATGGCCAGAGGGCGAGTCAGGGATGCCGGGGCGACGACGACGACGACGACGACAACCACGTCCCCGCCCAACGCGCTACGTGGCGAGAGCGAGCAGCAGCTGCCGCTCGTAGGTTTCTGCGCTCAGCGAGAAACAAGATCAAAAACGCCAAGGACCGCCTCCTCGCCATGTTCGACATCTCCGCCGCCAGGAGAACCGCTCGGCTGTTGGACCTGGCGCGCAAGATCAACGTGCAGGACATGCCGCGCCGGGCGGGGTTCAGACGCCAAGGCAGCGACGAGCTCTTTGAGGTCGATCGTAGCCGCCTGGGAGTGAGCGATGCCGTCGCCGCCGCTGTGAAGGAGATTTGCACCAAGTTGGCGGCGGCATTCCCTGTCATCGGATACAACCAGGTGAGGACATGGCGAGGCCGCGGGGTGCCGTAGTACATGTGTGACCCCGATCCTTACCCGCCGACCGTTGGCGCGAGATGGCTGTCCGAGTGGCTGCGGGATTGGTTGCTTGCGGTTGGACATATCTGTGACACAAGAGGATATTGTTGCCCGATCGGTGCTCTCTGTTGCTTGGTGGATTTCCAAAGCGTTCACTTTCTCTGCCCGCTACTACCCTAGCCTACAACAGATCAGGTTGCAGTGTATCTGCCGCGGGTAGAGCCAGTATTTATTGGCTTGTTCGTTCACCTGATCCTGGCCGTACCCACACCGCCCCCGCCTTAACACCGCGCCCCAGGGCTTCGACGCCGCCTGTAAGGCGATCTTTATCTGTGTGGGCGGAAACCTGGGTGCGGCCGCCGCAGTTTTCACCAAGTGGGCCGTTCCCTTGGCGTGGATGATGATGAACCCATACAGGGACGGCCAGCTCGGCATCAACACTGTGAGCATCTCAGCAGACTGTTGCTGCGTGACGTGTGCTATAGACGTATCGTGCTGACGTAGTGGTGGAACGTAGTGGTGGAACATGTGTACACCTCAGAAATGAGCGGAGATGCTTTCAGCCGACGGAAGGAGGGGTGCGACGGCTGAACCCTGATTCTGGTGATGAAACACTGATGTAGTCAACAGTGAAAAACGGAACACACAACGGCATGTACCGCCAGCGATGGGTGTTCATGAACCGTATCGTCAGCGAAATGTCATGAGGTACGGTTTACCTGTGGATGAACGGCCCATGTGCCTCCCGTTCATGACCGCCTGACACTACGACGGCAAAATGCGCTCGCTCGTACTACCACTGGTTTACGTCTTGCCACTGTTTTTGAGCAGGCCATGCGATACACCTGGTCGGTGCTCAAAATGCACGCCGCTCCGGTGTCCGGATGGCTGTACCGTGACCCGATCGTTGGCTGCGACGAGGACAACGACATGGCCGACACGATTCTCGCACACATCTTCATGGAGTGAGTCCACGCTTGTATGGTGTACATGTAGGTTGACATATCTGCTTGGTTTCGGAAAGCAAAGGCCGAGCTCAGTACGGATGCATCATATTTTTGGACAAGATGGTGCCGTAGTTGTCACCATGCATGCATGCGACGACCGAACACGTGTCCATCTCCACTTGCCTCTCCCTGTGCTCGATTCTCTGTACTTACGCTGGCACCCCTCGCCGCACTTGTCCAATGTTCCTCTTCTTCTCCTGTCGATGCTGCCAGGCCGCTCTCGACCTTCTGCTCCAGGCTGGGCCTCCCCCAGTGTGTCATCAACGACATCGTGGAGGAGACGATGCGGACTGGCCTTCATGGCCCGGCTGTCACGATATTCGTTGTTATGTCTCTTCTCTGCTTGGCGGAGAAGCAGGGGGCGGAGGACGCCGACGTGGTAAGCGAAGGCCGTTGCAGTAGGAGTAGATTGCCATCGATGGCGGCGTCTCACCGGTACCTGTTCCAGTTACCGTCATCGTGTCTTTACCGCCCCCTTCCCCGGCTGTTTCTGCACCGTACCACCCAGCACTTGATATTTTGTTCTTCCATCTTGAGAAGGAAACTGAACAAGAAGGATGCAACCTCGACGCTCCTCCCTCTCGTCGCCCTCTCCCTAGTCTTTTTTGGGTTGTTTGCGAGGAGAACAGAAGCTGGCTGTGTTCCAAAGTACGCATTTCATACATGGTTCATCATGACAATACTATGCGTACGTGACCGCTTTTCGTAACACAAGCACTTGCGGCTGTACTTCACTGGTGTCCCATCATTCCAGGTGGTGATGGTGAAGGTCCCTCTGATGGCCGCAGCAAGCAGCGTGAAGTCCTTCAAGGACATCTTGGAGCACGCGCCTGTCTCGCTCGAGCACTTCTTGACTGGGTACCGAGCCGCAATGGTCGGAGTACCGGCGTGCGATGGCTGGGTAGAGCCGGTGTAGGGCGTCTCCGTCCTTTCTTTGGAAGAAACATATGACCAGCAGGTGTTGCAAGCGGTACAACTTAGAGTGCACTTTTACGCGAGTTGTTTGCACCAGCTCGCGGTGTGTGTGGCGATAACAAAATACCCTCGTATTCTGTGTACCAGTTGTATAATGGGCCTTTAATTTATGGATGATTGTGCCTCAGCCCTCCTCGAGGCATAGTCTCTGGTGTCTGTATCGATCGCTCGGGTTCGTATGTGTATCGTGTCTTGCTTGGTCCAGTCGAAGCCATCTTGTGTCCTCGCGGCTGCGCTGAGCGTACCTGTTGTGCACCTTCGTGTTGCACGTTGTGTTGAAAGACATCGGGCATAAGTTGTTTGTGTGCTTGTTGACCGTCCCAGTACATACATGCGAACCGAAGCATTTCTTGGAACGCGCATACGATTACTGTGCGTTGCTTCCGGAGGTATATTGCTGTGGTACGTAAGAGTCACGAGAGGTAGGTGTGTGTTTGAGGTGCGCTGTTTTTCTTCGTGTATCCCGGTGCACATCTCTGTCTCGTCATAAATAGCCGTTGCCCCCTTGTTTGGGTTTTGGTCTGCCGTTGTGTCAGACATGCTCCCTTCTTTTTGTTCGTGCCGTACTGTTCCTTGTTTGTGAAGGCGGGGTATTCGCGCCACTTGGTCGTCTTTTGCCGCCGATGTGAACGTAAACAGCGGGGTGACAGCTGGACCACGACCAGTAGATGCGTTCATCGTGCGCATTACCAAGTTTGGTAGAAACACACAATTTTGGTCAATGAGTTAATCAGTTTCTCGCCAGAGGATCTGATACCACTACTTGTCCTTGTACTTTTCTTTTCGGTGCGTGGGATTAAAAGTACCACTCACCATACTTACCATTAGACTAGTCTACAGAGAAGGAAACCGATCTACTCTGCCGCTTACCCGAGGAAGACAGGCGATTACCACGAAATGTTCCATGGAACCCCATCAACACAGACGACTACCACGAAACGTTTCATTGAAAAATCATGAACGCAGGCAGTGACCAAAAACTGTTTAATGGAAACATGAATATAGGCAATGACCGCAAAAAATTCATGGAAAAAACGTGCTCCGCCCGACGCGGCACCAGAGAGCACTCGGCAACAACAAACGACAAAGGAGCTTGGAAGAAGCAGAAACGGCCCTGTGGGCTATCTGTTATTTAGCAACACTTTCAATGCGGCTAAAATAGACTGGATCACAGAATCTCAGCTTGTCACAACCATTGCTTGAGGTTTGAGGTAAGAGTGCGGCCGGCGCCCTGACCTTCGGAGTGACAACAGAAAAACAAGTGTAAAAAAACAGGGGAGAGAGAACAAAACAGCAGTCAATATCGTCAAAAGGACTGCCGCCAAACCGACTCATGTGCCGTGGCGAACAGGGACGCCCGCTTCACATGGAATGACAACAGGTCCATTTTTTTTTTTTCGTGAAGAGCACAACATCGTCACCAACTGGAAGAGAAAGTCACGGTGCATCCGTTCACGTATCGCACACAACAAAAAAAACACACAACAAAAATATCAAATGGACCGAAAACAGACAACAAGCGGGCCTCTCATTCCCGCTCGTACCTCCCCCCGTCAGGAAAAGACCACCGGCACAAACTTCGCGAGCTCTATAAGCTCCGTTCAACTCTCAACTCCACGCTCGAGAAGGAAAGAACGGGGGTCCCGTGTTTGTCCGTCTCTCAAAAGTAGCCGGATCGTGAGCCAAACCCGCTCAATCCTTGCAGCAACGACAAGCACGCCTCTTCCTGCTTCTCCGCCTCCACGCTGTCGCTCTTAAGGTCGGCCAGCAGGGAGAGCCTGCGGTTGGCCACCCCGCTCACGAACGCAACCGTCGAGTCAAAGTACACCGCGGCTCCGCCGCCCCCGCCATCACCGGTCCCGGCCCCCTTTCGCAAGATGCCGCCGCTGCCGCGGCTGCCGCCACGGTTGCCGCCGCCGGCACCGCCGACGCCGCTTTCGCGGGCCCCCGCCCTCGCAGCCGCTTCGATCAGGTAAGTCACTACGGACGCCGCCCCGCCCTCCATCTTGACGTTGGACACGAGCTGGTTAGCTAACTCGAGCGAGAGACAAATGTACCTGCGGGAAGAAAGGTGGGATACACAAAAGGGGGGGTCAAACGACAGCGAAAATGAGGGGTGAATGAAAAGCTTTGTTGTACCCTGTACACCCCTTTGGAAATGATAAAAAAAAACAGTCCCACGTTCACTGAAGTCGTCGCAATGCTAGCTGCACGACGTGCGTGCCACATTCCGGGAGGGGGAGGGGGGGTTCAAATGTTCCGGGGAGAGGGGGGGGGGGGTGTACTCATTGTCGTGCATGCCGTAATCGTTTGACCATTGACCTCGCATCCCTACAAAGCCGGGACGGAGCACGCCGGGTTCTCACCGGACCAGGCTCTCACATCACCAAGCGCGAAGCGCCGTGAGGTATTTGGCGAGTCGCATGAAGGGTGAGCTGCATCCTGCTAAGGGTGTTCGGCATCTTGTGCTTACTTCCTTGCGTACGGATGACAGCTACGTATGACTTAATTTATTTTCTGGTGCGTTCACTTCCAGAGACAGTTGTAAGCACTGTGTAACTGCCTCGAGGAAGCTTGACCATTTTAACACAACGTGGTGCGATCATCCCCCGTTGCGCGGAGTGAGGTTTCTCGACCCCGCACAACATGATCTACTCGACCACCATTATGGTTACCGCCAAAAAAAAAAAAACGAGGTAAAAAAAAAAACGGTAACCTGGTTGCCGAGTTTACGAAGTGAATTGGCTTGTTTTACAACGTCGTTGCCAAGCGACGAAAACCCAATCCCGATGGCATACACCGAGTGGGGGGCTTGTTTTACAACGTCGTTGCCAAGCGACGAAAACCCAACCCCGATGGCAAACACCGGGCGGGGAGAGGGGGGGGTGCAAGTCACAAAAAAAAAAACGCTGGACACGCCACGCAAGCGCGGTCAAAGAGCCAGCCAGCCGCCGTGCACCTGAGGCGAGCCGTCCGCGTGTGGTCGTCACCGATGATGGTTGCCATTTCCGCCTCTCCCTGTTCGCAGAGCTCCTCGAGCTCCCTCAATGTCGCCATCACCACGTCCCCCAGAAGACCCCGCACCTCTAAAAAGATAAGAACGCACACGGTGGAAGATGGTAGGCAGTGGAGCGCGCGCCGGGGGGGGGGGGGGGGTACTGGTTTTACCCATCATGTTGGGGCCCCTTCTGTATTCCGTTTTCTTAGCACCAAAACTTGTGCTCACTCACACGCGAAATAATACCGGCGGGATGGGATACAAGTGAAACAGACGTCCTTCGTACGAAGGCTTCCGGGGTACTAGCTACGGTGCAGGAGCAGGCTCGGCCCTCCTGGCCGCATCACCGCAACGCAAGGTGGGGACGACGACGAACCGACAGAAGATGTGCCGCAATAGTGACCGCGAACGTACGCGTAACAACAAACACAGCAACAGGCCCATAGAACGCAATCCCCGTTCGTGCGTCAGGAAACACTCGGGTGCTTCCTGCTGCGCTCTCGCTCATGTCCACACAATTCGCGAGCCACATACTTCAACCGCGCACTCTTGCACACCAGTTATCTACCTTCCAAATAGGCCGAGTTGCGGAGATACAAGTCGTCGTTGCCCAGCACGCCGCCGACGTCGAGCCAGCTCTTCTTCTCTTCGGGGCCGGCGCCGCCGCCCTCTGCCCCGTGTACCGTAACCGCGGCGGAAGCCTCCGCCGCACCGCCGTCGCCCTCACTACCTTGCCCTCCCTCGTCCTCTGCAGGGCTACCGCCGCTGCTGCCGCTGCCGTCCTTCCCGGGATTTCCTGCGGCGGTGTCATCCACATCAGCGCCCTCGTTCGCGACAGCGCCTTCGAGGAGCGAGGGACGGGAGGGAGCCCCTACCGCTGTTTCGACACCCGTGCCGCCTCCGCCGCCAGCCTTCTCCCTCTCGTCGCGAGCAGCAACAGCAGCAGCAGCAGCGGTGGAAGTAGCAACAGCGGCGGCGGCGGCGGCGGCGGCGGCGGCTACGGCTTCGCCCTCGCTCTTGCCTTCGTCGTCGTCCCCGTGGTCGGGGCCGTCTCCCTGACTGGACACACCGCGGGCGGCGGCGGCGGCGGCGGCGCCGCCGCCGCCCACGGAGTAAGGCAGTCGCTCCTGCCACATGGCGCACAGCGTACCCGCCGCGGTGATGTACACGGAGGCCAGCAGCCCGGAACCCGCGGGCCACGGCAGCCTGGATGAAGTAGCAGCGCCATCAGACGGCAGCAGCAGTGGTCCAGTCGAAGTCGCCCAATTAGGAGCGCCGTCAAGAGCAGGCCGACAGATTCGCAGCGGTAGGGTTGTAGATCAATACGGCGGCTCCGTGACTCAATCTACGGTAGCTCATATGGGGTAGACATGCACGGTGGAAACCACGCGAGGGAGTAGACGCACACGCCAAGCATTGCTCTGCAGTGGCCATAACGGGACACAACCAAAAGCACACACATCGGGTACACTAGTGCTCTCCGTAGGTAAAAGGCCGCATGAACGAACAAAGAGGGTCGCCCGGTGGAACGCCGGTACAAACCACGCGGCACAGATGGAATATTCAAGTTGTCTCATACTCTGACAAGTGCCGGGTGACCGATATAAAAGACCTTTGCCAAGCCCCTGGACACCATGCGGCCTTGTACAGGGACCACTGCAACCGTACAAAATCGAGGTGCACGAATACCTCGTGGCCCCAAACTCATTAGCACACCCCAAACCGACGCGTAGCAGCAGCAAAAATCAACCCTAGCAAACTCCCAAACCAACCAACATCAACAGCCAGACAACAAGCCACAAGCGAGACGTGCCTTCTGGCGGCCTTCAGCAGCCCCCTCAGCAGATAAAACGGGCCGAGGTCGGGATGACCCGGCGCGGCCACCAGAGCCCCCAGCAGGCTCTTCACGGCATCGCACAGCAGCCACGCCCCCAAGTGCTCCCGCCTCCCGCCCATCCCGAGCACCAGCCGCCCGCCGGGGCCCGGGGGCAACGGGCCCCACGCCCCCTTCCCCCCCCCTCCCCCTCCGCCGCCGCCAGCGGCGGCGGAGCCCCCGAACCTCCCCGAAAGCCCGTACGACTTCCTGTCCGCCGCATCGGGGTTCCCAGGAGAGCGGTGGAGGCCGCCGCTCCCGCGGAGGCTGCCGCTGCCGCGTGAGGAACCGGTGGGGTCGGCCCCCGACACAACCAGGGGGGAACACTCGGGCACCACGCAGATGGCAGACCTGCGGGCAACAGGTTGCGGTGGTGGGGGGGGACGGGGGAGCGGGAGATGGGGGGGCAGCACGGAGGTACACGCCGGGCGGGTTGGGGGCAAACAGAAGGCGCGTGTGATATGAAAGGGGTGGTGGTGGTGGTGGTGGTGGTGTTGCACACAGTTCGTTTCCCGCACCGTGTGCTCCAAATATTGAAATAATAAACACAACTCCGGAGTAATTGCCGTACTTATCCATAGCCACTCTGTGTGGGGACGACGATAGCCTTGAACGTTCGTAGACAACGACAGGAAAGGGGCAAGTAAGGTGCGTGCGATATGAAAGGGCTAAATAGTGGTTTCGCACACAGCTTTAACGGTTCGTTTTCTCGGCACCGCGTGCTCAAAAATGTTGCGTTTTTTGTGGATTGTCGGCTGTCGCGATGTAGTCACCGTAATCAAAATGATGCCTGTGTCAAGGTTAGCTCGTTGGCAAACGGCGTGGAAGACGATGGGGCGTTTCTGTTGCGAAAAAAAAAAGTCACGCCTGCTCTCCTAAGCACCTATCGAGGTGCCCTGTAAACGAACGCGCAACAAAAACACACAAAAAATAAAAACAGCAGGAGGAGAGTGCCACGGTGCCAGGCCTCCCCGAAAACGGCTCACTACATCTACTTGAGGTTTAGCATGTATACTCAAAACACCTCCGTTCGGGAAATGTAGGCACCATTGTGGGATTCGCGCTTGTGACCCCTTACATTTTCGAACGAGTGCTACCTACACATTGTGACCGACGCACCTGAACAAGGCGTCCGCTAGGGCCGGCTTCCCGATCTGAAGGGCGGTGCTCGCGCAAAGCTGGAGCAGAGCCAGCCGCCGGAGGGCCGAGGGCACTGAGGGCACCGTCAGCGAGCAGAAGCACAGCGCAGCGCGCGCCGTGGCGGTTGACCCCGCCCTCCAGGCCCGGAGGGACAGGCCCGCTGCCGCCAACACGAGTCTGTCGGTTACCTGCAAAAAACACGAAAACAAAAATCGCGTCAGAAGAAAAAGGGGGGGCCACACCCGAGGCAGCAAACGTAGGGTTGGAGCGGTTACAAGACTACACGCGGGTAGAGACGTGCAGGATAGACGGAAAATGAAGCACGTGTGTGTGTGGTATCGGAATATCGGAAAATCAGAGCAGTAAGTTACGAAAGGCCACACCCGTCAGTTGGACCAGCATGGGTATTGGAAGGTACTGAGTGTAGATCGGAACGTTTTTTAATGCGAAATCAACAAAGCAACACTAAGAACAGCAACACCCGAGAGGAAAAAGGAAACGAAAGAACCAAAAACCGGGGTGAAAAGGTTACACAGGTAGGAGAGGTAGACGGAAGATGCTCGATACGCGGAAAAAAGCACGTGCACTATGTATTGATTTAGTAGGGCCACGAGGTACACACACGCCAAAACAGCCGCCAGCCTGTCCCCAGCCATGACACGCCGTTGTTCGAAACAATAGCACTCACTGTCTGCTGTGCGACTTTACCTCGTCCATCCCCCAAAACGCCTGGCGGCACTCCGCCAAAACCTCCAACCGGCTGGCCTCGCCCGTACCGCCGTCGCCACCGTTCGCTCCTTCCTGCCCTTCTTCTGGTTGGGGTGGCTCCGCCCAACCCCTTCCAACCCGATCCACCATGTCGCACGTCAGGGCAACGGCGCTCTGTAGAGCGGGCACAAAAACGCGAGTAACGACGTGCGTTGCACGAGACTAGGTGGTTGAAAGGGCGGTGTGTCTTTCATTCCATTGCGCAAAAAACAAAAAGAGATGGGGAGTGGCGACCGAACGTTTGGTAGCAGCTGCTGCATGGGTGCAAAGAGTGGGCACGAAACGCAACATGAAACCGGACATTTATTTGTTGTTTTCATTGACGAGAGACCAGAGAGACGAGACTTGAACGAAAACAGGGGCACCGCTACACGAACCACCAAGGGGCCACGGGTAGGCCGAAAGACGAGCCAATTCCGCTTTGCTCCAGCGAGCGGGCGCGAAGGACAGCCGCCTACGACCAAAACACCCATACATGTCAACCGCACGATGCAACAAGTCCTCCTGGAACTGGACAGATACTCCAACCCGGGCCAAAGCACGAGCGAACAAAGCGTCGGCGGGCGTTGTGCGCCCGCCCGCAGATATTATATACCAACCCGACCACCCCCCAGCACCGCTCGCCTGCCTCTGCCGCTCGCCGGACGAGAGCAAGTCGAAGCTATCGTGCAGCAGCTTGGCCACACCCACCAGCGCCCGCGCCAGCTCTACCTCTCCCTTGATAGCCGCCCCCTTCTTCTTCTCCTCCCCATCACCGCTTCCCGACTTCGAACGCCCGTCCTCCCGCTCCCCGGGCGCAGAGGACTCCGGAGACGCCGTTACCGGCGGCGGCGGCGGCGGCGGTTGCGGGGTTGTTGCCGGGCGAGCGCTGACGCGGCCGGTTGGAGGGGGCGTATGTCGGGGCAGCGAGCGAAGAAGCGCTGCGAGCAGGTCGAGGCAGGCCTGCGCCCTCCGACTCTTGTCCAGCACGCCCAGGACCTGAGGTTTGTTGTTGCATGCATCGTGAGATGGAACACAGGATTGAACAGATTTTGAGTTTGGTTTCATATGTCCACCCTTGGCAGGCGAGGTGGGGAGAGAAATGCCAAACACACAACGGAAGAGAAGAATCGAACGAAATACTCAGTGCTCTTACTATGCCTCTCTCCCCCCTCACACTGCATCTGCATGAAGCGACAGAAATCGACATTCAGTACATATTTCCCAGCAGGCCTATCCACAACACGAGGAGTCTCAAGGTTAAAAAAGAACAACGTGGCCGCCCTCACCACAAAAACCCCCGTAAATTTATCGAGAAAAAAGCCGTCGGAATCGAACAAACACTTCGGTTTCGACACCCGCGATCGTGGAACACACGATTGACCTGAGCACGAAATAAACAACAGGTGGGCGCGTGCTGCAATATACCATATCGTGATGCACACCAGTAGCGGTGCCCAACCCTTACCTTGACGACGTGCACCCCAGCAGCCCGAAGCGCCGAAGGGTCTTTGGCACACGCAAGGGCGCCCGCAACCCCGTCCGCCAGCCGCCCCTGCACCGACGCCAATTCGGAAGTGCTCGCGTCTTCCATCCTGCACGCCACATCCTCCATCAGGATGGCCACCTGATGACGTTGTGATGATGGCGATGATTCGGAAGGATAAGTTTGACGCGGTTGAAGCAGCACAAAAATAATATTTAACTTGTACAAATTCATTGCTATTCTACCACGGACTCTTTTATCTGTGCAAGAGATGGGTTCGATATGCTCTTTGTGAGAACAACAAAACACGGGCGGCGGCAGATGGGAAGAAGAAACACGGAACCCCCCTCATCGCCGCACCATCCCGGGACCCCCACCCCCTGGCAATGTTATGCAACGCTGGCCGTGTCAAACGCCACAAACGGAGTTTGAACGGATGAGGGCGGGTGGTGGACAGCGATAGGAAAAGAAACGACTCATGTCCTGCCGCTGCTTCTTTTCCCTACCGCTTCCGCGTATTTGACTTCCTACTGCTGCCCCTGTTGCTGCAAACTCTAACGCCCACGTCGCGTTCTCGAGGCCAAAGGTTGCGCCTTTGAAGGCAACACGTACATCAGCCCAAGGGAGACGAGGGACGGACTACCGCTGTGCTTTTCTTTCGTCTCTCGGGGGTGCGGTCACACGGCCGGCCTACGTGCCCGCGTACCTCGTCCGGGCCGTAGGCCGGGCTCTGGAGCAGCACCCCCAGCCACGCCGCCGCCCCCTCCACGTACACCTGTAGCGGGGCCGGGGCGATCTCCTAAACAAACAAACGCGACAACAGCAATGGAGGGGCGTGCGGGGGGGGGAGGGGGGGTACCCCGAAGTGAGGGAAGGAACAGACTAACAGACTTGGGACATTATGCTTGAGGAAACGCTTTTCGGGTGTTTGTTTCGACAACCAGGGGAGAGTATTCTCCAGAAGACAATGAGGCTTTCTTTCACGTCCTGACTCCACGGCTCTCATTTCTTCGCCGTCACCGCTCGGCCGAAAAAGAAACGTAACGCCGTCGGTGGGCGCGCCCCCTCTACCCTCCCTCCCCTCGCCCCAGCCCTGCCCTTACCAAACCAAGCCCTAGTGCGCAACAACGTTCACAAGCTGCCAGCGTCATCGTCAAAGCGGCGCTTGGTTTCGACAGCATGAACGAGTTGACAGCGTCAGCCAAACAGAACATTGCCCCGGACTAACGGTTTTGCCGTAATCGGATGTCAGAACAGGCGAAAACAGGAACCTGTACGCGCCTACAACCCTCCCCATAGTGGAGGGAGCAGACGAGATACAAGTCTTCCTAGAGCGACCAGGGAGCCGGAACTACAAACACCCAAACAAGTTCAACAGGAGAGCACTGGAGAGTGTATCCGGAGGACGATCGCTTACTCGATGTACGAGAGGGTGACCGGTGTCTGCGCAGCCTACAGCACTCATTCTTCGTCCCCTTCACCACCCAAGACCACCACAACCTTGCCCACATCCGAACTGGATCTGCGGGGACCCCATCCCTCTCACCGTACCCGACCCCCAACGCCTACAGACCTATGTACCACTATACACCTGCCAGGCTTCGTTGAGAAGCGGGACCGCCTCGGGACCCGAAGGATGCGCGCTTCCTGCGCTGCTGAGCTTAAGACCGAGCAACCCCATCACCTCCGGCACCGTGCAGCGAGTGGGCAACTCTTGCCCCTAAAGATAAATTTAGGTTGTGCAACGTCGCGGACGAACGCCAGCCAACCATGGACCGAGACGATTTTTTTCGAACAACGGTCGTGGGCGGGGGGGGGGGAGCTTCGTGTGTCAGTAGCGACCTATCACAAGTATGCATTGGCGTAACAAGGTTGCCAGCGGCTGCAGCGGCATCAGCAGCAACACTAAAACGATCGCTCGTCCCTTACACGAAGCAAAGCGGGGCGCCCGACAGCCGGTATCAACGCTTCTAAAGCTGCCTTGGGTACACACAGCGCGGCACGCTCTACTGCGGTTAAAATCACGTCGACCAGAGCGGCGACCTGCGAAAAGATGAACCGCTTGTCTCGTCATGCCGTTTCAAACCATGATACACCGCACCGCACCGCACGGCACCCCACCGCACCGTACGGTAGAACCTCGTACCGTGCCGTGTGCATACCATGCCATACATGTGGTCTAGTTGGTAGCCTCGTAACCTTCTAGAGGTCAGGTCAGGGGTTCGAATCCCGGCGTAGGCGAGCTTTTCTTGCAAAGTGAGTTTTTCTCTCGCTTCCGCTCCTGGCCAAGTGGATAGCGCTAGTTCGTGTGTACACAGAGGGAAGAGAGTGCTGAACTCTTCTCGCATTAAAAATTGAAGGCGAAGTACCGCAGGAGGGGAGGGTAGAGAGAGGCTCTTCTGTGTTACCACGGGTTGGAATAAACGGCACTAGTGCTGTGAGCGCTGATTTGAAGTGAAGAACAAAAAAAAAAAAAAAAAAAAAAAATACCACACCGCCAAGAGCAAGCGTGCTCCGGCCATTAACTCTACCCCTAACCTAACCTGCTTGATGAGCAGCGCCATCTCCAGCGCGAAGGGAGCGTAGTGTTCCGGGCTGAAGTGGTTAAGGATGAGCCGCAGCACCTCCAGGATCCCGCAGTGGTTGCGGTAGTGGGCGAGTATCGACGTGAACACTCCCTGCGGGGAATAGCAAAGGTTTAAGGTTAAGAAAAACGGGGGGCTTGAGGGGATTCTAGCAGTGCTGAGTCGGGGGGGGGGGAGTCACGGTGGTTGGGGCTTGTGGTCCTGAATGGGGGTGGGTATGTAGGGTGCCGTGACATCGCACGTATTAATAGCTGTTTCTCACATCTGTAACGTTCAAGGGGATGTTGCGTGCAGTTTCTCGTACACACAGGCCCAACTGGCGAGAGAGGGTGGGGCGACTCGCCCCCCTCCAGCCCCAAACAACATTCTCTGCACTGGTGTCCGACTAAAACACCATGCAGGGGAGTGAGCGACTTCCACCAATCCGGGAGACGAGCTTTGCATAAGCGCGCATACACACGTGGGCGGGGAGGGTACGTGTGTTTCTCAACTTCCTGTGGAAGAGCAACGTCATACATACACAAACACAAACACACAGTTGCATCCTGTGACGCCTCCCTTTCCCCCCCCGGCCGCTGCTATCTCACCCTCGGGGCCCCCGGGCCGACGACCCCCAGGAGCCAGTCAATCGCCGGCGCGTGAAGGTGTAGGTACTCAGACAAGCCGAACTGGTTCGCCCGCAGGTGTCCCTCCAGCTTTCCCTGCTGCACCTCCTGGAGGCTGAACAGGTAGTCCTGCAGCGACGCCACCGCGTGGGCGCTCTCTCGAGGGGCCACCTCAGCGCCGGCGGCGGCGACGAAGCAGCGGCAGTAGACCGCCACCATAGGGCTTCCCACGCCTCGCACCAGCGTCGACAGCCGACCTACCGAAAGGGCAGGAAAACGCAACTGTATTAGGCGGCCAGCGGCGGCGGGACATAAAACCGGTCAATACTCACAACAAGGACGCCAACCTACCTTTCCTTTCCGACGCTCTCCGCGCGTTTCTGCCATGTTCGTGTACAACGGGTGGAGGGAAGCCTTATTATAGGCGCGGACGTGCATTCAAAGACACACAAGCCGAGGACGCTAGCGAAACAGCGGGTCTGCCATTCTCATGTCCGGCCAGGTACAGTACCTAGGATCTGGCCGAATTCATCTTCGTTCGCCAGGAAGCGGTAGCAAGGGAGGAGCGCCGCCTGCACCGTCCGGGGGGGTGGGTGAGGGAGGGGGGTACACGAACCGGGCAATTCTATCGATAAGCAGGGTCTCATGTGTCATTGTGGGGTGAAAATTATCAAGAGCTACAAACACAACCAGCAGTCAGCGATCGGCAGCAACAGGCACCACGGGTGAAGGAGAGACGACGACGCAACAGCAACAACAGGCGGGAAAACTTCCTATTCGTTGCTCGTAGGGATATAGGGTGCGCCGTGCACCTGTCACGGATTGTACACAGCCACGGAAAAAATGTCTCGAGGTATACACGTCAACCGCACGGACGCAAGAGTATTTTGTTTTTGTGATTCATCACTTCAAGATATGGCGCTCACAGCATTTCTGCGGAGTAGCTCCAATCCGCCACACAGCCGAAGAGTTCTTCCCCCTGAGGTCTCCTACCCACCCCTCCGGAATGTGCCTCCAAGAACGCCGTGTGTTCGACGACACCCCGATAGCCCCCCTATGTGGAAAAATCGATCGGGAACAAACACGCCCTGCGGAGGCAGCATTTTCGCTTCTCCGTTGAGGTGCCCCCTCAACATGAAAAAACAAAAACGCAGTTGAGATATGACGCGAACAACAGAAAATGACCCCCCAAAAATGGGCAGGTACCACACCCTTTTCCACCGATAAACTTTCCGACTTCGTTCCTTCCTGAAAACAAAACAGACACACCCGGGCACCGACCTCAATCAGAATCCTCGGCAGGAGCTCCCGGATGCACGCCGTCTTGTAGAACCAGTTCCGGCAGGTCTCCCTGGCCTCTGCGCTGACGTCATCGCAAGTCCATCCTCTCGGCAACGCGTGCCGCGCGGCCCCCGCCCCCGCCCCCGCCCCGGGCGACGGATCGGCCGGAGAGTCCCCTTTGTTGCCTGTTTAGATGGTGGATGCATGCGTGTGAGGTTGCGCGGGGGATCAGAGCCATGGGGTGAGGTTCGTGGGCGCCCGGAGGGGGGGGGGGGGTACTCGTATGTTTTGCATGCCTTAGTAGCGGTTAGACGACACGTCGTCGAGAGGACGGAGCAATGTTCCCACAGGACCGATCACCGATGGCCAATCGTCCCTTCCTAACTTGCCTAAGGTGGTTCGTGGGCACCCGTGGAGGGGGCGATCCCTTCCCTTGATTTAGCTATGAGGTTGACTGAGCACTAGCCACGCACCCAATCCCTTCCGAGACAGAATACTCCTTATTCCGTTCCTAAAAACAGAAGAAAAAAAAAATGCCACTGTTTGGAGGTTGGTCGCGTTTCCGCCCTGTGGTTCTCACGCTAAGAGTTGACGGGGTGAGGGTATGGGGCGCCTACCCACCTGCAAACCGCCAACCCCGTGGAAAAACAACGAAACACCGGGACGGAGCGAAACCAAACAACCAACAAAAACAGCACCCAAACCCGCACAACCTTGACGACTCCCAGAAAAAAAATCGGCCCGTTCTCCTCTCTCCCCCAACCCCTCTCTCTGCAGTTTTTATCTCGGTCGCCTTTCCCTCACCCTGTTGTGTCGGCGAGGCTTCTTCTCCCACGTCCTCGGCTCTATCACGTATCCGCTCGAAGACCATCACGCCGAAGGCTTCCAGCAACCCGGCGACGGAGGCGAAGAGGGCGGGGTAGAAGGACGGCACCGTCACGTCCCCCAACAGTTTGGCCGCCTGCGCGGCCCCCGCGACGAAAACAGCCAAGCACACCGGATGGAACCGACACCCGGGGCCAAAAGCAACACTCTTTAGTTTAGATACCACAAGCGTTCCGATGCCGATAAGGGAGGTTGGCGTAAAACGGCTGGGATTCATAGCGTAACCTGAAAAAGAACCCCTCGCACATATTTTTGGTGTGAACGATCAGGCCGGGCAAGCCTCCAGTGGCCTGCACGGCACCAAATCGCGGAGCGACGTGCAAGAGTGTCCGGCGAGTTGCAAAAAGTGCCGGACCAACATCACATGATTGTGTGTTAGCAGCCCTTTTCAACACACACACTGCTCTTCACTACCCCCCCCCCCGCGCGATAATTGGGGATAGATGGTGGGCACAAGAGGCCCTAGAGGACGGGGATAAGATGTGCAAGAAATTTTTATGGAGTTTGTGGCAGAAACGTAAAGAGCTCCCAAATGTTGGTGGTGTCTCTAGTAGGGGTAGGAACGGTGCTCCGTCTCGAAAGGGACGCGTGGTCAATGGTCAAATGACTACGGCAAGCAACAAATGAGTACGCCCCCCCCCCAGCGCGCCCCCCACCGTGTTTGACTTTCGACGAACGACATTGTCGTGACCACGACGTCATCATACCTGGACAGTAACCTTGAGAGCCGCGACCTTCTCTTCCCTAAACCAGGCCACCTCCAAGTCCTCCTTCAGTCCGCTTACGTGCGCAACGTACTCCTCGGGGGTGACGAGCAGGCCCCCGGCCATGCCTTTGCCGGCCTTCTTCCCTCGGCCCCCGTCACTACCGCTCTTGCCGCCGCCGCCGCCGCCGCCAGAACCGCTTTCCCCGCCTCCCGCCGCCGGCCCCTCTAGCTCCTCCAGCCGTGATGCGAAGGACGTCGTCAAGGGTGATGCTCTGGCCGTCTGTCCGCCGGCCTGTGACTTGCGTTGTAGGGCGCGATTGGACGGTGTGGGGGGTAAGACGCGATGAGAGAGGGGACAACGCTGACAGCGGGATAAAAAAGGGAAAAAATAAATGATATCAGTTGGAACAGCGGAATATGCAAAACTCCATCACCGAGCATGCATCACAAATAGTGAGGGCGCTTGATTCGGTAAAGTTGACGGGCTTGTAGTTGGTTCGTTCCAAGAGCGCAGCAGAACATCCGCAGCATGAACGCACACCTTGTCCCCGCCGCTGTCCCCGCCCTCCACACCAAACTCTCGCAGCATGCTGCGACGGTGGGCCGCCCAAGCTTTCCCCCAGCCCCCTTCTCCTTCTTTTCCTGCCGCCCCATCCGACGGGAGGCCTCCTCGAGCCGCCACGCTGGCCGCCGCCGCTCCTCCGGCTTCCGAGAACCGCGACGACTCCCGCTCCAAATCCTCGAGCAAGCTGCTGCTGCCGCCGCCGCCGCCGCCGTTCCCCAGAACGACGCTCGCCGTGCCGGCAGATCCCGGAGACCCCGGTGTCATGATGGCGCCGTCCAACATGTCGTCGTCGAGCACGCCGCCTGCCGTTTGCGACATCGGCGGGAAGAGGAGGGGATGGGTGCACGAGAAGGCCAAAGCGTCAGGACAAGGCGAGCTTCAGGTTCACAGTAGAGGGGCGCGCAGGTGACAGCAGCAAGCGAAGTTGAAAAGCGATGTCATTCTGCGCGCAATGTGTAGCTTCACGGCCTCCTTCTCCCGTATACATACAGTGGTAAACGTCTCAGTGGCAGCATTGCGTGCGAGTTCTCTCAACTCTCACCCCCGTGTCTTGACATGTTCCTCGCCACCGCCCTCTCTTGCATCATCATCGACAGAGGATCGTCGGAGAGGCCGGCGACGGCCACCTTCACATCCTGCGACGGCGGGTGTGGGCAAGAAAGCAAGCAGCGCCGTTGCAAGCACACAGGCCAAAAAAGGACAAGTCAAGCAGACGAACTTTCGCCGAAGGGGGTGAGGGAGGCAATATGGCCTCCAATCCACGCGGCCTCCTTACGGAAAAAATCACTTGCAAAACCCGAAGAGGGCAGCTCTCTTGCTGCGTTACGCATGCACATGCTGCTGCACTCCCCGTCACAAACGCCTACATACATAAGAGCGCTATCGCCAACGGCTCGCTTACCCGCTCAACGTCGTTGAAAACCGCCAGCTGGGTCTCCGGCGCGTGCGCCGTGGTGCTGTCGGCCACCCCGCCCTCGCCCTTGCCGTCGCCGGGGACAGACTCGGGAGCTGACGGCGGCGGCGGCGGCGGCGGCGTCATCCACAGCTCCAACAGCGGGTCCTTGTTCTTGCTGCCGCCGCCGCTGCTGTCTGTCCCGCCGTCGTTGCCGGCCTTGGAGTCGCCGAAGACAGCGGCGAAATTGCCGTCACCAGCGATTGATGCTGCTGCTGCTGCCGTCGACACCGGCGCCGAAGAGCTTCTGGTAGCCGCCGACGCCCGTCGTCGTACGGTCGCCGCCGTGTTGGCTGCTGCTGTGGTTGTTGACGACGTTGTTGATGTTCGCCGAGGGCGTTGCTTCACTCGAGGCACGGCCAGCGGGTGCTTGTCCGCGAGAGCTTGCTCGCGGGGAAGCGTGCGGAAAGCGGCGGCACCAGCACCGGCGACACAGGCGGCCGTAGTGCCTGCGGGTCCACAGGAGTCACCATCGTTGTTGCGTAGTATCGGTGTCCTGGCACGACGCAGCAGTGATGAACAACGTGCAAATATTTGGATGTTAGACACATGAAGGGGTGCGTTACCAACAGAGCGTGCCTCGCCGTTTTCTCAGTGCGTCTACTGCAACTATTGTAGGAAACTCAGGCAAAAGGGGTAGGTATTTGTACGTGTATGACTATGATACAGCGATGCTCTGTTACCGTCACCCATTGGAGGTATCTGCGGTAACTAATGCTGTACATATCCCGTGCTGATACCAAGGGCGGGGTGCGAGCATGGGCGGGAAAATAAGCAGAACATTTTGCGTGATCGAAATCAGAAGTGCCACGATTTATGTCGCTAGAGCAGCATAAAGTTGTCCCCGAAGAGAAGCATGCTCACCAGGTTATGGCAACCCTCTTGGTGCCCACCATCCCCCGACACGGAAGCTGAGCGACACACAAACCGACGCCGCTGTGCTGCTGTTTGGTGGGTGTGACCGCCAACAGGGGTAACCCGTGAAAATCAAATCCCCCCTCGTTACATTTGCGTACCCCCCGCGGCAAGCGGCAAGCGGCAAGCGGCAAGCGGCAAGCGAGAGTGAGTAGTCTCTCTCGTGATCTCGCACAGCCGGCCTGCCGCGCCATGGTCTTGCTACGAGCCCTCCTTCTGGGGGATGTTGCCAAGCTAGTTTTTCCAACCCATAGGTGCGAAGAACGTCACCGAGAAGACCGCCGACATGATGGTGACGGAAAGGGCATTGGATACATCCTAGAGAGGAGCTTCGGCAAGGTTTCCGAGGTGCGGCCACCGGGTTTTATTGTTTGAATACCGTATATGACACAAGATAACACACCCCCTTGGCCGATTTTCAAAGCTCGATTTCTCAACAGCAGGAAGAATCACAGCGCCGAAAACGGCGGCGTTAGAACCGTCTCGTCGAGAGCTGTTCGAAAACGTATTGTTTCATTTATGCATCCTATTCGTCGTGGAGTAATCGAGCTTTGAAAATCGGTCCAGGGGGTGTGTTATCTTGTGTCATATACGGTAGTTAGATCCGTAGTCTCATGCTACAATATCACATCAGAGATACATAGATGTGATCATGGATCAGTGCCAAGACAGCGGGACCCGAGAATGACAGAGGGTTGTTGGCCATACAGCTCAGGGTTGCCCGGCAAGCACAAACGCGGCCCACTTTCGGAAGCTTCAAAGCGTGTACTGCTGTATGCAAAGGAATGTGTAACATGCATCTGCTCGCCCAACTTGCTGCAGACTTCGTAGACGTGCGGCGCCGTCTGTTCATCCGACGAAACTGAGTAACCCCGTAGTGCGCAAAGTGCGCTTTAGCGCTGTGAATGTGAGGTACAATGGACCAGTGGGGAATAACAGATAAACCGGCAGGATTTTGGTTACGCCGCACATGCCGCGACGCCGCCCCCAAGAACTTTCCAAATAACGGTCCGCCGCCCACAGTGTACACATAGCGATAGCGAAGAGCGAACGCGGTTCACTGGCAATTATGTCCTACCCCTCTTGTTCAAAGCAGGCTTGTTCTCAACGGGAGTTACCTTCGATCTCGTCGTCGCAGCAGCAGCAGCAGCAACAACAGGAGCCGGCCGCGACGATCGATTCGGGGCTACGGTGCCTGCAGCTGTCTCTGGAAGAGGTATGCTCTACAAGCAGTAGTCCTGATGCTTCGATCTCACCGATACCGAGGTTCGTACCAGCGGTGCCTTTTTGCTGCACTCCCGACTCAAGGTGAAGTACCTCTCCCTACAGCCAGCAGTAGCCTTCACACGAAGTCACGATGATTTGGAGCTTCAGACGCGGGAGAGCAAGGAGAGGGTTGCCTCATCATCCTCCACCCCCTGCCCCCCCCCCCGCCGTATCTGCAGGCGTTTTACCTTGCGCACGTCGACGAGTCCCTGGCGCTAGCTGTCCCGAGGGCCAACCTTGTCGTTCCCACAGCCCCGATCGCCTTGCCGCCGCCGCCGCCGTCGCCGCCGCGGGGAAGACGCGGGTTCGAAGAGCCCCCTGGCCTCCTCCATGATTGGCACCGCCGGCAACACACCACTGAGGAAGCAGAAGATGCCGCTGGGGGTTCCCTGAGCGGAGAAGAAGCGTTCGGCTGCGGTTTCGGCGGTGGCGAAGAGGGCGGTGGCGGCGGCGGCGGCGGCGCCCCGCTGTTGAGCGCGGAGGAGGCATGGCGTTACTGCTGCAACCGGCGCCCGGATTTTCCGGCAATGTTTGCGGTGTACCGCCACTTTCGGATACGGAGGTAGGTACGTACCGCGCCGTAGCGGGACGCCCGGACGTCTCTCGTTGTTTTCCTCCAAGACACATAACTGTGGGAGGCTGTAGGCGGAACGGCGACGGCTCGAGTTGAACTGGCACACCCGCAGCAGGACTAATTGTGCCATGTTTGACTAGAGCGAACAGCAAAGGGACGGCACGCGCGCAAATGCTTGGACCCCGCGTGATGGCACGTTTATCCGGGCTATCCGGCCTTCCTTTCCTCTGTCTGGTCTGCTGCGCTAGGTTCACCGACCAGCACGTCGAGATACGACAAGTACATGCATGCGTAGTAACATGTGACGTCCTCTTGGACGCTGACGACCAAAACGTTGCGATTTCTACATCTCTACATTTGTACTAATAGTGCATAGCTTGATGATTTCGATTAACTGGGCCCTCGACCTCCGCGACGCGAAACAGTTTCACGGTGGACACGGGCCACAAGTACGGGGCCCACTATGTGCTGTACGAGGGGCCGCCGGACGAGTGCCATTCGCGCTACTGTGTGCACGTCACGGGGGGTGGCGGACGCGGCGATTCGTGGAGCCACGTCAAGACGATGACACGACTCATGCCGGTGAGGTTCTCTTGAGTTGTCGTTCCTGCTCTGCATCTCAAGAGTATTTTTTTTTCTGCAAAGGCGCGTCTTTGAGAACGAAACAGTAGGAAAATTACGGGAGGAACTGCTTCTACAATGGTGTTGCTAATGGTGTTTGGTCCAGAAATCAGACGACCAGGTCTCCTCTGGCCTCTGTGCCTGTTTTTGAAGACACAAAAAAAACGGTATCCGAAGGGGAGTAAAACCGGGGCACCGCTCGATTTTTTGCCAAACTCTTGTGTGCCCGCACGCGTGTGGGTGCTCTCGCCGCCGCGTTTCTACTTTCACTCTCGGCGCGCAGGATGTCGCAAAGTCTCTCCTGGTGTGCGGGGTGACGTATCGTCCTCAAGGACCAACACTGGAGACAGGCTTGTCCCCGCCCATCGACACGTCGTCCCTGGCGGCCCTCGCGGCGGCCGAGGTGACGGCGTTGCGTTTCTCTAGGTCCAGGGACTCCGACGGTGGCGGCGGCGGCGGCGGCGGCGGGAAGAGAGCCGCTCGTGAAAAGAGTGGTACGGTTCTAAAAGCCAGGAGGCCTGTCATGGAATCAACTGGCTCTAGCAGCGGGAATTCCGCCAAGAAAAAGAAAAAGGGCAAGAAAATCGAATGAACTCGCGGGCAAGGGGCTCCGGCTCGGTTTTTGGTGCCGGAGAGGAGAAAGGCGTGGTGATCCTGATGCAAACTGGGGCATGTACGGACATGTACGGACAAGTGCCCTAGCGGGGGGTGCGAAGTCGTGAAAGAAAAATGTCTGCTCGTATGTGATGGACCAAACGTTCGTTGTGGTAAGCCACCTCCCGGCCCGCATGCGTCCAGTCCTTGGAACTTTTCCCATGGAAAATTCCCGTGTGGGAGACACGTGAGGAAGGGCGCGATTTCGTGGCTGTCTCCGCGGCAGTCGAAAGCTAGTGGCTGGATCCGGTCCGCCCAATCTCGATGTTCGGACGGAGCGTAGCCACGAGATGCAGTACCAACGCGATTACAAAAAACACACCAGTAGAAGAACGCTGGAGAAGTCACTCATATTTGTCAGCCCTCTCTTCCCGCTGGCTTGCCATTGAACGGGCGGGACCAACGCCAAGCTAACTGACTTCCATCAAAACGCAACGAACCGATAAAAACCACCTGTCAAATGAACACCACGCCAAATCGTTCCGATGCGTACCTCAAGAGCACGGCAGGAGGCATCATACACACAACAACAGCGCGAGGTATCATCAGGAACAAAATGACGCCTATAAGCAGGACCACAACAAGGTGTACCTCCTATCCTAATCAGTGCCACGACCATGACAACGATAATATCAACAACAACGACAACAAAGCTTACACGTTCAATTTACGCCACAATACGATGCGGGGAGCAACGATGGGCATGTACATGTACAAGCACCACCAACACGACGACACCCACAAACAATATGTGTACAAAAAAGGAAGGTGATGGCATGGCACACCACAAGGCATGAAGCTGAGCGGGACCCAACAAGGAGTTCTCGTCGCTCTGTTTCATGCCTGGCCGCTGTCGTCCTGACCAGAACCATATCGGTGGTTGGGCGACCAGTTGGCGTGCGTCTACTTCGTGCCACTCCCACTACAATGCAGCGCTCTCACCGGACCTGCCGTACATGAAACAGCGAAGAGACAATACAAGGAGCAGCAGCCACAACTCTGCAAGCTGCCGTCTGCACACACACCAGTATGCCCAAACAAACGCGTTCCTCCTCCCAGCACTATACCCACGCTGAGAACACACTAGCAAACAAGAACACAACAAAATCCCGGAATACTCCACACAGCACGGCCACATTTTTTTTTCTCAATCCCACGACTGAGTCAAGACGAGAAACATACTCTAGGTGGACGATTGCTGCTGGCGCATATGGCGCACAAGTACGCCGGGCTTCTCTACTACTACTGCTCAAGTGCACCCGGGCACCATTGGCGTACGGGCAAGGGGGAAACGCGAGCAACGCCCGATGCCGCCAACGCAAAACAACCGCGGAGAGGTGACGCTCGCTCCAAACGGCAAGTGTTTGGTGGTGTGCGAGGGGAAAACATTGCACCCGTTCCTGCCCGCCCACCCTTGGTCCTCTCTCAGTCGGTTCGGCAGCTTCACGGGGACGGCCGCTTTCCTCTGCCAATGATGCCGGCCATAGCACCCTTGAACAGGTTGTTATTGCCTGAACCACCGTCAAAACAGGGGTAAAAAAACAAACCAAGAAGGGTTGAAAAACGACAAACGGAACAAAAAAGTTTGGACATTGGCGCCAATTGTTCGTGCGTATAAACTACTGTACACAACTGCAGGTTGCAGTCGCGCGGCCAAAAAAGGGGGGGGGGGTGATACGTTGCGGCGCTTTGTCTATACCCTATTATAGGAAGAACCGTAAACGTCGCCTCACAAGGCTCTCACGCCTGTAATAAAATAAACACTACCCCGAATAGTTCGGCTCTCCCTCACAGAACCCAAACCACTCCTGTCCCCCGCAAGCAACGACAGCAACACGCACACAGCTGCTGCCACAGCGTCAGTCTCGGTTGCAATGTTCCATTTTTCCCGAAAGCTTTTGCGCGTGTTTTTCTTACCTGCTCCCCACCCCGCTCCTCCAGTACTCGCTCTTCGACCAGACTTCGTTGTTGGTGTAGCGGAAGCCTGTGAACAATGGTCGAATTTCATCGGCCGCGTATGGCGTCGGTATCAAGGGCCCAGGGAGGGGGGGGGGTCAGCCTTGAATGCACGCCACACTCGCGATGCGTACAAATCTCAAGAGTGCACAGCTAGTGGTGAGCAAAACTACCAAGGGTATATATCCGCGCATGTATGTAGTCGACATTCAATCCAATCGTTGCTCGTGGGTCAAACTACGCGTAGGGAAACCACCGAATCGGGGCATGGGCATCCTGTGTCCTCCAGGCTTCGGCCGAATATAAAGCGCCCGGAGTAAGAAAGGGTTTGTATCGTTTCGAAAGAGTGAACGCGGTAGTATCAAACGTGTCTTGGCCAAACGCGTACATACAAAGGTACACCCTCCTTTGGCAATTGTTGGCAAATCGAAGAGTCCTGCGTCTGACGACGACCAATCAAGAAGGGCACTGCAGGGCGGCGGAAGGCCACTACAAAAGGGCAGATAAAACGTCGGGCAAGCTTCATCTTTATATATATTGCGAGTAACTACGCCGCGTGGAGGCCTGCGGCAAGACCAACTGCTCCTAAACCAAACCCAACAAACAAAAAGAAGTGACTTGGGCCTCAAAAGGCTCCTCTCGCCCCACAACCACGGTCTATTTCTTTGCCCTCCTTCGACCGAGCTCTCACCTGGGACACCACAACGCCGCTGGGGGCCACGAGTCGCATCCTCTTCGGCGCACTGCTCTGCACTGTTGGGGTTGCCATCGCTTCCGGCGACGTCCGCGCTGACACCGCCGCCGCCCCCTCCCCATCCTCCTCCCCCGAGGGACCAACACCTCTATGCCCTAATCGACCTTCCATTCTCCCTCCTCCGCCTACTCTACCGCTCCCGCCGCCGCCCTCCACCGCACGCTTGCGTGTTGCTGCTCTCGCGTCGTGCGCCCCCTTCCCCTCCCCTCCTCTCTCTCGGTTGCTGCTGTCTCCCATCGTCGCTCGTCGCTTGCGCCCCACGAGCTTCCCCGCGCTGCTGTCGGGAGCGGTAGCCGCCGCCGCCGCCGCCGCAGCAGCAGCAGCAGCACCAACTCTACTTCCCCCTTCGCTCCTGCGAGAGCTCTCGCCGTGCGATCTAGCGGCACGCGAAGCGGGCCCTGGCGCAACGATACCCTTCACCGCGTTCGATGCTGCCGTTGCTGCGCCCACGCTGCAGGCGCTGCTCTCCGCGCAGCCGGGGCGGGGCCGGATGGCACCATCGCCCTTGCCGGACATCGAGTCGTTGCCGCCACTCGCCACACCCCTCGCTCGCTGAAAACAAAAGTTCGCACATTCGATTATTTTGTTGTTTGTCAAAACACGGAAAGCCAACGATGACGCGCGACCAAAGGAACGAAAAACAATGAGGTGGCACCATAATCAGCCTCGGAGACATCAGGGCTCAACGCCGAAAAACATTATCCCGACACATGCATTTTTTTTCGCACGCTCCGTAGCAGCGGTTCCCCCTAGAACCCTCTCAAACCAAACGGCCAAAACACTGGATGCTGATAACGGGGGGTTGCTCTAAATAGGGTAACCGCGAGTATTGCCAGTAGTGACGCTCGAAGGCGTTTCGGAGCCGGACAAGCTCGAAAGTCGCGGCGCACGTACATACCTGGCCGTTCCCCACAAGCGCCGCTCCCGCCGTCGGAGCCAAAACCTTTCGGGCGTCTGCCACTGGCGGTGCCGACCCCCCTTGGTTGTCGCCGGGCGGCGCCGAAGCGCGGTCCCCACCGCGATCGGCTACCTGCTCCACCGGCCAGCAGTGAGAAAAGAAAGTGAGGCCGCAACAGAGCTTGTGCAAAAGGCAGCGTGTACGCGAAGCAGGCGGGAGTAGCATGTACACCTAAGGTATTCTAGGCGGGCGGGCGAGAGAAATCCTGGGCGCAGGGAAGACTATCATGACACACCGCAATACCTCCCCTTTTACAAAAAAAAACGCATTATCTCTCTTTCAGAAAAACAGGAATTACTGGAGCGAAAACTACAGTAGTGGCGGCCAGTCGTGATGCACGAAATAGAAGACCGGTGCGGTTGGCTGGAAACTAACCAAAGCGCGACGAAAACACAACTACTATATTCAGTCCCATCGCCCCCCCCCTTCTTTCTCAGCAAGACAAGAGCTGGAGATCCGCGTGTCTCCAAGCACGACCCTGGCGCGGAATCGGTCCCTACGGTACTGACAGCCCTGGCTCACCGGACTAACGTCCTTCCCCGACGGCACGCAACCTCCGCTAGCCTCCAGAGCCCGCCGCATCATGCGGGCGGGGCCGCTGAATATTCCCCCTGCCGCCGCCGGAACTGCGGAGGGTTTCCTGGGAAGAGCCTGACGGAGAAGCGCAGGGCATCGTGGGCGGCAATACAAGGGGCCCGGATGGCCGCGGCACGGACTAGACGTGAGCCGGTGTAAATTATATTCCTCCCGCAAGACAAGAACATCCGCTTGGTGGGAAAATCTGGGAGAGCTCGTGTCACATCGCGTGAGTGGCATTGAGTTCCAAACAAGCCTTATACAGCCGTGAGGAAAGATGGCAGAACCCTCGTACTGCTGTCGACTTACGGATTGGTCGCGGATTCCGTACACAACAACAAATTACTTCTCATGTGCCCAAGACTCGCTACTACGTAGTCCTCTAGTTTGAACAACACCAATGGACTGCCTGGGATTTTTACCGTGGGGGGCAACTTCATAGATGTTGTGAAATTCTGAACCCTCTTTGAAGTCTTCGACGATCAGGATTGTCTGTAGCACACCGTATGCCATAGCGCAGCAAACTGGTTGAAACATAGTCAGCTTGAACAAGAAGCACCCGTTCAACAACAAGCAAGGACTCTACGTGAGACAGAAATCACACAGCATTCGGGACTTATTCACAACAACATGAACCATCCAAAACTGCAGCACATGGACAACAGTGGCACGGCTGTCGCTGATCACGCGGACGGTTGGTACCGATGGTGCAAAAAATCGACCAAAAACATACACGATGGGGTCTTCCAAGACCCAAAGCACAATATTAATGTGGCCTACGACGGACGTATCATGACAGCAGCACACACCTTCGCAGGCACCGGCGGAGTCGGGGACGGGCTCCTCCTTGCCGGAGCAGCCTGGGTCCGGAGAGACGAAAGCGTCGGCGGTGGCGTCGCCGATGCACCCCGAGCCGCTCCCCTGCTCCCCCCTGCAGCAAGGGCCTCATCCTCCTCGCCGTGCCCGTCGGAACAGCCGCCGCCATCCTCCCCCACCACCAGTATCCGAATCCCGTGGGCACGCGCCAACGCCCGGACCTGGGAAACCCCGGAGGCGGCGCCGTCGTCCACGAACCTCACGACGATCCCGTGCTTCTCGGCCAGGTTCCTGATCTGGCTTTGGTCGATCGCGTGAACGGTCGTGCTGTCGTCTTGCCTCGCGGCGTTTTCTTCCGTGGCTCCCCACGAGCCGAGCACGCCGCTGCCGCCGCCGCCGCCGCGTCCTCGCCTCTGCGCCTCCATTCGCGCGTTGACCTGCGCCAGCATGCGCTGGGATCCTTCCGCGATAGCCGCGTCTGCGATATAGGGAGCATAGAACGGACGAAGGCAGTTGAGAAGGCGATCACGGCAGTGGTTGTGGGAGGGCCATGCGAACGAAGTTTTGACAGGGTTTTTCGCTGCCTTCCTTTGACGCCGGGAGGGCGCGGCATGAGGAAGCTCCACCTACATGCGGATGTGTGCTGAAAGCTCGTATCAACGACTCAAGACTACCCCCCCCCCATTTGAAAGACACAAGAAAACGGAGCGGTAAATCAAGCAAGACAGGCCCCAGGCAGGCGTACGAGCCACATCCTGCCAAAAGCAGAGATTCGCTATACTATTTATGAAAAACGTGCCTGCAACATGCACCGTCTCCTCCCTGCCCTCCCCGCCTCGGACACGCCGCGTGGAAACCTCAATACACGCACCTGCCCTGCCCTTCTCGTTCTTGACCCTTGCGGCCTCCCTTTTCTCCTCGGCCGCGTTCTGCTTCAGCTGGAACTCTATCATGCGCTTTCCCGCGGATATGTCTATCTTGACCGGTCCCCCGGCCCCTTCCTCCTCCCCTTCCGAATCGTCGGGCACTGGGGCCGACGCCGCGAGCGGTCCAGGCTTGACCTTCTTCACCTCCCTGAGATCCACCACCTTGTTTGCCGATGGCAACACCCCCAGCCCGCCGCCGCCGACCTTCTCCCCGACCAACACCGCGTCCGCCTGGCCACTAACAGCAGCGGCTTCCGGAGGAGGTGGCGTTCCACTCCCGGCGATTTCTTGCCCGCCTGTCGACGCCGCCGCCGCTTTCGTCACCCCACCCCAGCCGGCAAGGCTCGGAAGCGGGCCGATCGGCTTGGTCCCAGGCAAGAGGCGGAGGCAGATTGTCCTCGAGGCGGCGTCCGACCCTGATTCCTGCGGTGGTAACGTAGACGCAGGCGTGGCCGCGGCGTCCTTGTCGTTCGGCTCCCGGGGAGTCGGGGTGGGAGTCGGGGTGGGAGTCGGGGCAGGAGGAGGAGTAGCGGCGGCGGCGGTGCTACTCGTGACCGCGTCTTCTGAGAGGCCACCGATGTCGTTGTCCGACCCGAATCCCGCCGTCTCCCGGGGGGAATCCGGCGTAATCGCGGCTTGATTGTTGCCCCCGTCGGCGTTCTCGGGCGGCACGGCGACCTTTTGCGCGGGCTGTGGCGCCGCTTCTTCTGCAGCAGCCTTCATGATCGTGTTCACTGCTGTCGGGAGTCCGGTGAAGGCATAGATGGCATGACAGCAGTAGAGCGATTCGTGAAGGAACCACCCACCCATACACTCGGTGCGCAGCTTCTTGTCGTGGTCGAAAAGCAATACCCTAACAGCAGTACGTGGGCCTGCTCCATGTTCTGGGAATTATTCGGAGGTCCTCTTGCGCGAGACGCTACCGGCAGCGCAGCTGTGTTGTTTGTTGTGAGCCCAAGAGTGGCCACACGCAATGGTTTCAGTTTCAAAAATCACGGAATGGTCTTCTCGATTTCTCCCGGCGGCGGTTCGTTTGTTGTCCCCACTCATCCTTCGCATATGGTCCCGATGCAGATGGAGGGGGATTATCCTAGGAGGAGAGAGCCCTCGTAGCGTGTACTGATGGGAATCATGAAGCCACACACACATGCTTGATGTTGTACAACCAACGGCGGTGGTTTTACCCCCCGCGCCGCCCTTGCTGATTTACACCCCCGACCAGCCTTTTCGTGCCGCCGACAGCTTGGGGAGGCGTGGTCGCCAACTCTGTTGGGGGGGATCGAGAGCACCAACATCAGCAGACCGATCACCGACACTGAGCCTGGCCCTCGATCACCGACACTGAGCCTGGCCCTCCTCCTTGGAAAAGCCCTCTTTGTTTGTGGCATTTCGTAGGTCTACTACGTGCGTGGAGCGCGAGGTGCACAGCGCTTTACGTCAGCAAGCTTGAACGTTCCCAAAGACCGTTCTCGGAGCCCGCGCCACCGAGACAAACGCCTTACACTGCCGAGTAACTCAACATCAACAGGCGGGTAAACCATGAAATCACGAGGCATCCGATCTCACTTTGTACCCAGCCGGGCTGGTCGGGAGCGTGTTCACGCGGACGCACGTGCTCTTCGAAGGTAGACACTTCGAAGGCAGGAAATGGGAAAGGTGGCACGGCCGCGCGGGATTGTGCTGTAGGCTTCGGGGGATCGCAGTTGCGGTTGGGTTGATTCTGCAAGCAGGAGTTCAAATCACGGTGCCCCCACCGCCAGCTCGCTGCCCTTGTGTGTGTGCCACTGCGGAGTGTGGTGGTACTGCTGTAGCTGTACAGGTAGTGCTCGGGGTGTGTGCGTGGAGCGCCTATGCTGTGGCGTGGCAGCTAAGGCTCCGCAGTCTTTAATAGGCTCAGTTGGTCAGAGGACAAACAAGTGTGGCTTAAACAACTTGGATTTCAACAAGAAAGAACAAGAATCGAGGCGTTGATTCGGTCGGTCCATCAGCCCTGCCAACAGGACGATACGATGTTCTTTTGGCCTCTCGTCGGCGCCGTGGCGCTGGATGGCCTCGCTCTCTTCGTGGCGACCAACGACATAGCTCCATCCCTGATGCTGGTTTCTTTCATGGGCATCCGGCTGCTGTTTCTGATGCTCTTCGCTGCTGTGTTCTACCGCCAAAGGTGAAGGAATCTGCGCGGGAAAGAGATGATTTGTGTTGACCAACAAGGCACATGATGCTCTACTCCGTGTCCAGAGGGAGTGACTCCATCTTCTTTGTTGGGGTTGTGTCGCTCGCGCGTCAGTGAAGTGTACGAGTGAGTCTGCGCCCTGCATCATGATACCTGCATGCCTCCACATACCGAGATTTCAACCGGAAACGCCTGGAATCAAAATGAGAGGATGATGGGTGGGACACTTGGAATTTCATCATGTGTGGGCTGGCTGTTGTGGAGTTATGGAAGGTTCAAGTCACGCACATCAGCGTGTGTGTCTTCTACCCCGTGGTGCATGCGGTAGGAATTGGCCCGTTTTGGTATCACCACAACAGCAGCGGTGTCTCGCGGTTTGTACACAGGATTTTTCCCGTTAATTTCCGAGAATTGCTAGTTTAATGCTTGTCCTTCGTCCGATAGTGAAACCCTTGGGAAAGGCCACGCCTTGTTCACCGAAGGTGGCACGAGACATCACACCCCGTTGACTGATTTTCTGATTTTAAAGGCTTGATTGCTCCACCGCAGAAAGAACGGCGGTGTTAAAGGCGGCGTTGGAACCGTCTGGTAGAGAGCTTTCAGAAAACGTATCGTTTTGATGCGTATATCCTCTTCGTCGTGGAGTAGTCGAGCTTTGAAAATAGGTCCAAGAGGGGGTATGATATTTTACGTCACCTGCTGTAGTTGGTTTGTGCTCAGGGGGGCACTCACTGCCGTGCCGAAAGAAACGTGCAGACTGAAAATAAATTGGTCAAAAGTTTGTTGCAGTTCAGCCTAGATACAGCACCCATGTGCATACAACCCTTTCTAGGTGCCGCCGTGGTTGTAGGTGCTCACGTGTGTGTACCTCCACAGTTTTTACACTGCTGTCACAAGCGGTGATCCCCTCGCATTGGCGGCGAGGGACAAGCCTTGCTGCTGTTGCACGTCTTTACGCAAAACGGCGGGCGTGTTACCGAAGCCCGTCCTCCTTGCCTTGTTCCCTCGCGGTCTGCCCAACTCCTCCTCGACTCCCATCCATCCATCTCACCTTCCCCACCACAAGACCCCCGCCTCTCCACCCGGACCCCAACCTTTGGGCGATCGCGCGGGCCTTGCGCAAACTAACCCCCAGCACAATCGCTGTGTCGCTTCGTTAGGCGGATGAGCTTACGGTTCCCGCTGATGTGGGAGGTTTTCAACTTGGTCCTGATCATCGTCAAGGGGTTCACCTTTTTGCACGACGGGGCTCCGTTCCAGGACGCGTGGCTCCTCCTGGGGTTGTGTGCGGCATCCGTTGCGCTTGAGCTGGTGGGCTTCGAATTCGAGCTTCAGTATTCAGTGTTCTTGTGGCTCAATGCTTCATCTACTAGGCATATGTTGAGCGGTACTGAACCATTTCGTTGTTCTTTTGCTGCCATGGCCTGTGCTCTTTGATGACGCTCGTCGAAACGCATTGCCTGCGTAATCTGCGCCGGTGGAGGGATGCTGTGGACGACGCTGCCTTTGATTAGTCCGTTGATTTCACGGGTCCACCAACAGGGATATCAGAACGCAACCGATGGCGCGAGCATCACTCTCGATATCGGTTTCGCAACGAAACGGAACATACGTTCTATGATTGTAGGCACCGCCTGTTGTCGATTTGGTGGCTACCCGAGACTTCCACCCTTGAGGAACTGCTTGGCTTCTTTCCTGGCTTACAAATCCCGTACGAATCCCTTCCTCCTCATAACGTTCGACCCCCCTTGCAACCGTAACCGCATCTTCTCCGCCTCGGAATCAAAGGTCTGCGTGGCTCACTTGTACAGCTCTGCGGGGACCCTTCCCCGCCAGCACGTCTTCCTCCACTCGGCGGTGGGCGCGATGGCGACGATGAACCTCGCCAAGAAACGGTCTTGGGCGTCCATCCCGACAACGACGAACACGATGCTCGAGCAGCGACGCCTGTCGGAAGGCTACGTCCTTGCATGTGAGACGACAGTAGAAACGCGTTAGGGGGGCGTCGTCGTCGGTGGCGCAACCTCCTCTGCGTCTCGGAGCGTGTTTTGTTCACTGTTATCTATCCTGTGTGCGGAATAGGTGGTACCACGTGAATCAGTGTCGTCGCTTCGAGGCACTAACGTTGACGTTTCGCCGCTAATTTTTTTTTTATCTCGTTTCCGGTGGTGTGGCTGGTGCTGCTTCAAGGCGCTTTGCGATTCTTCGGCTTCCTTTATTTTGCCCTCGGCCGTTCGCGGGCGCGATTTGTCAGGCTCTTCTTTCTCGTGCTGTTGCGTTTCAACGATGAAGGAGAGAACTTTTGAGTCGTAGCCACTCGGCCTACCGCCACACACATGGTCGCGCCCATAACCTCCTTCCCTTATTGTCCGCCGCGGCTGACGGTACGGGGGACGATTTTTTTGTCTCGTTTTGTGCTTGTTGTTTTCCAAGCCGGTGATGGTGGTAGTAAACACGGCGACGGCGGGGGCTTTCTCCTGGACGACGGGGACAGCGGCGAGGACATCGCGCACGGCCGGCAGAATAGCTTCGAGGAACGGAGGTGGGGTGGGTCGCCTCTCTCGAGCGGTGTAGGCTGTCCTGGGGGTGTGTGTTTACCGTGGCTGGCTGAAATCGTTGCATGGCTACTTGCCGGTCCATGTGGCTCCTCCTTTTCGAGTTTTTGTCTGTGCTGTAGTAACGCTTGGTGCTTGCTTGACGTGGTCTTCGTGTCGTCGTTTTGCTGAGCAGGGTGACGTGCCAGGTGCATGGGTTTTCTGTTGTTATACGGATTCCTGGATCTTGGGTAGTCTCTGCACGCACGGTGTTTAGCGGTAGTCACTACGGTGAATCCACAGCCTAACCGTAAGGGTACCTGGCACCCACCAGATAATAACAAGGCCATCTTACGGCCGTGCGCCCAGCCCCCGTTTCGCACGACGCCCATGCGCCCCCGCGTAAACCTTCTCTCGGCGGTTCCATCCCCTTTTCGGCATTTATACCATACCGTTTGGGTCTGGCTGTGACCCGTGATGCACTACGCAGACGGTTCCTTTCCGACTGGAACACCAAGGTCGACAAGCTACGCGCTACCTGGAAGACCAAAGTGGACGAGTTGGCAGAAAAGCTGGCTGCAGCCCGGCGGAACAGAAACAGACGCTGGGGTGGAGCCGAAGGAAGTCGGGGCGGGGCGGGGGGCGGGGGCGGCGGCGGGGGGGGTTGGGTAGGAGACGCGGAGGGTGCCCCCTTGCTGCTGCTGGCGCGCATGTTCGCGCAGGAGCAGGCGGCGATCGAAGAGCTGGGGGACATGTGGGTCCGCGACCCGAAGTGGACAGGATTTTTCTTGCCCCAGGTGATTGATTAATTTAGTTCTGCTGCTATTGTAGAGATAGTGCTTATGTTGTCTTGGGAAGACGCATGCTCGCGCCCACGTTATTGACACGTGGTGGGCTGTGAGCCCTGATCCAGTCGAGCGTCCATTCGATTCTTGGAGTTTCTGCTGTCGTTGTCAATGCTCTTGACGTGCCCTTCCCCGCGCCCCCATACATCCTGCTACGGTTCCTCCACCTCGAAGTGGGCAATCTCGAATTGTCCCACCCGCGGCTGCTGTGTATTTATCCATTCTTCCGTCTTATTTTTCGTGTTTCGTCTGCATTTGTTTGTCTGTCGATTCGTGGTGTCACACCGGCGACCGGTCCGTGCGCGTGCGCGCGTACGCCTTGCAGTACACCCTGTTCCTCCTGTACGCGTCCTTCGCGCACAGCTCTCGCCTGCAAGACCTGCTGCTCGACCGGTGCGGTTCGAGCGTCCAGACCGCCCACGCCCTCTACTGGTTCCTCAGGGCGTTTTGCCTGCAAGGGGCGCGGGTGACTCCCGTAGGGGTGGCGGCCATCGAGCAGGTGTGTTGGTGTTGGTGTGTGGGGTTTTGTAAGAGGGGGCACGCGTGTGGACTAGAGCAGTGAAGGGGGGGGGGGTCTGCAAGGGGCGTGGATACCGGTCATCGGGAAGGTGTGCTGGTGTTGGTGGTATGGAAGTTTTCGTATTTGGTTTTGTGTAGAGGGGACGCGTGTGTGGGCGAGAGCTGCGCAGCGGGGGGGGGGGGGACTCAGGTCATAGTCACGAATTTCCCACATGTTCTGCTGCTGTGTTTTAGTGTGTGGCGTTGTTTCGTTTGGTTCGTCTGGGATATGGCAGCACGAGGGTGTGTGCGGGGACACGCGCCTCAAGGGCACACAAGAGAAATCCGGGCAAGAAACCTAAGAAGAACGTGTCGAGGGGGCGGGGGTGAAGGAAAACTGTTCGCTACGGGCGACTGCAACGACGCCAGGTCAACTCCGTTTTTTATCCTCCCGCGTTCCTGCTGTGGCGCCAACCTATTGCGAACGCAGATGCTGCAAGAGGTGGTCTCTAGAGGGGAACAGCCCGCGCGGGACTTTTGCGAGCTACGGTGGAGGGACGACGGCGATGCGGGCAGGTATCCCGCCGGCTGTTGTTTTTATTCGTCGGAGTCGTTGTTGTCGGAGTTGGAGTGGTCGTAGCCGTGGGGTGTTGAAGTTGGTTTCCCGTAGCGATAAAATAATGGTGGCCACGTGGCCACGGCAGCCTTCTCAGCAGATTGACTGACATGCCAGTCGATCAGTCGGTCGATCATCGCTCTGTGTGACTCCGACTGGCGATGTGAGTTGTTGTTGTTGTTGTCGGCGGCGTGCACCCATTGGACCGCTAGCCGTTCCCATCCCCACTGCTTTCATCTGGCTGTCTCGAGAATTATCCCGCTGGTAGAGGTATTATAGTGGTTTCGCTAACTAGTGTGGTGAGTTGACGCTGTCTTCGTCGCGCCCCAGGTACTCGGAGCTCTTCGACGCGCCGGACGAAGGGGCCGGGGGAAACCGGTCTCTTAGCGGGCGTTTCGGGGAGACTGTGGAGTTTGTCGACGAGCTAGTTAAGGTGGGACGCACTCAACGGCGCGTGTTCGTTGTCACGAAGGCAATGTGCAAGGCGCCAAAGTAGGCTATAGCTTGGGGCGTGGCCTGACCGCGGCAAACGTGATGCCATATAGCCGATAGCCGGCCGCAGAAGACAGTCTAGCGCCCTCGAAGGATGTTGTGGACGTGACGCGCCCGCTTGCTGAGTACCCTCGCCGTGTTTGTTGTTTGACGCACCCGCTGGCTGGTTGTTGTCTTCCCCAACGCGCGAAACTTTACTAAAATGTGGTAACAGGTAGCAGACATGCGCTAGTCTTGTGATCGCCCCCCTCCCCCTGAAACGAAACGAAATGCCCCGCAAAACGTTGGCGGACAGATTTCGACGGAGCTTGCGGGAATGGGGAAAGAGAGGAGGACAGAGGAGCTCAAGAGCCGATTACGAGAAGTGCAGGCCCGGTTCTTGCCTTCCCGAGCCATCTACATTCCCCTCAACCGCAGGCGTCATCGCGTATACCGAATCGCGGTGGAGGTGAGCTTAGCACGAGACTTGATTAAGTGTTGGCGTAAGGCGAGCGTAGAGATAAAAGCTGGCACACAGGTGGCCTTGGGCCGGTGCCGAAGGAATTCCCTCGGAGTGGTGGTGATACCTCTCTCGCGTGTTTTGGACGAGACTGGTGAGGGCCAAGAAGAGAGGGTTTTTCGTTGATGGAAAATGGGTCAATGTTAGTCGACCCCGTTTCTCTCCCCCCGCTTTTATATTTCCGTGTCCGGCAGGAGAGCTTCTCTTTCAGCACCAAGGACAGAGCTCCGTATCTCGTGACGCTGGAGGTGCTAGACAGCCGGCTGCAGCAGCAGCAGCAGCAGCAGCAGCAGCGGCCACCGCTTTCTTCGGGCTCGGAGCGGCGAGGAGCGGGCGCCAGCGGAAGCTCGGATGGCGCCTCTGGTCGCACCAAGGGTCGCGGCGAAGGAGAAGAAGGGGGAGGGGCAGTGAAGGTTGGCCTGATCAGGATGCTGACCCCGAAGGGCTTGGGGCAGTCGCTGCGGGAGATGGCCGACAACACGCTAACGTCGCTCAAGCTGGGGGGTTCCACGAAGGACGGGCGCGGCGGGGGGGTCGCTAGCGGCAGTAGCACTGGTGAGAGACCGGCGGGGCGGGGCGGGGGGGGTTCTGAAGGGTGGGATGTTCGCGTTGGTGACAGTATTTTGCAGCACGTGCTGTCCTTTGGGAATGCTGAAGATTGTTTTCTAGGTGGGGTGGCCTGGAAGATCTGTCTTTAAGGAAAGAGGTGCTGCTGTCATGGATGTAGCTCTCCGCAGATACCTTTGCACGTCGAGAACATGTTTCAGGGTCTTGTGCTTTGTTTTTTTTGTTCTCTCAACAGTCTGTTGACGCCAAGGGAGCAAAGTCGCACCCCAAGAGTGGTTTGGAGTCGTTGTCTCTCTGGCCCGTCCGTGTCGTGCTTACGCTAGGCCTATAGAAGCCGAAATCAAACTAGTCAGCGCTGACTAGTCTAATGGTTTGATTTCGGCTTCTATAGGCCGGACTTGTTCTTCGCGTTGGCTTTGGGGCTGGAACCGCGTCTAAGGTGAACTCGAGCGCGATCTCTATTCACGACTCTGGTGTCTGGTGTGTCCCACTCAAACTGACCAATACTCCCCGAAACCCCGGCGTTCTACACCCTCGCCCTTCTTTGATTGTGGCGACGACCACGATGCCTTTTCTTCCGAAGGTGGGGATGATGTGGAGAGCCAGCCTCCCATGGTCGTGCCTCCGCCGAGCGGCGGCGGCGACTTCCTCTCGAAAGGGCCGATGGCAGCGCCGGTAAGTGGCGGCGGCCGAGGGGGCGGAGGCGCGACTGAGGCCGGCGCCGTGTCGGGTCGAAGCCTTTCCCTCCTTCTCCAGGAGCCGGCAGATAAAGAAGGAGGTGGGGCCGTGGATGGGAGTGGTGATGACGCGCTCACGGTCGCCGCCACCCTCTCGAAGAGCAGCGGCTCCGCGGCGGCGATGCCGACCGTTTCGGATGCCGCCGTGCACACCTTCGCCGGCACCGCCGCCGCCGCCGCCTCCACGGGCAGCAGCAACAGCAGCACCCCTTCCCCGGCCGCCTGGTCGGTGTTCCCTCGTCCTTATAGTTCCGAGACGGCTGCGGCGATGTTGTCCCGAGACGATTCCGCCGCAGAAGAAGCGGGAACGGAGGCAGCGTACTCTCATCGACCTGATCAGGTTGGGGTGGTCGCGGTGTCCGAAGGAGAAGGACGGCGAAAATACGACGGCGGTAAGGTGCCGGTGTCGGGAGGCGAGAGAGACGAGGGTATGGATCGAGGCGAGAGGGGCGGGGCGTCTAACGGCATCGGCTTTGGAGGTGGTGTTGAAGAAGGTGGCAGCGTTGGGGGCATCGCTGCTGGGAACGGCGTTTCGACCGGGGGGGAGGAGGGGGACGGCGAGGAGGGGGAGGGGGAGGAGGAGATCGTGCAGCGGCTCGTACCGCCGTCGTTTTCCAGCACCAACTTGGTGAGTGAACCACCCACGTTTTTTTTCAATTTCCTGTGCGCGCGTGTAGTTTGAGCGGTTACAACACAAGCGGAGGAGGGTCGAGAGCTCGTTTTTCCCTCGGGGGATATGATGGTCTTGGGCTGGGCCTTAGACCCGCCCGTCGAGTTGACGCGTTTTTTTCCTGAGAGAGTTCTTCCTCGCCAAGAACAGCAAGTAGTGGAGGATCAATGCGTTGAATGCGGTCTTGGTAGTGAGGAGGGGTCACGAAGGTGGCGTGCTTGCTTGCGCTGCAGCCCGCGGACCATCACGCGGCTCACCGCAAACACCCGGGGCGGCGGTTGTGCACCGCGTTTTACGTACACGTATCTTGCGCTGCTGACCGCTCCTACCCGATCGATTGGCTACCACGCAACCCGATATGATTGTGCCGGCCGGCCTCCCCTGCCTTGAGGGATGCAAAAGTGACATCCCCCTTCGACCGTTATATTGTCTGGAATGTGGTTTCATTGGATGTATATTTTCTAACAAGCCAAGTGCTATGTATGGCTAGGGCCATGCCTAGCGTTTTTTTAGCACACGACACGCTCTCACTACCCCCTTCGCGATAAATCACAAATCCACAGATGGGCATGTGGAGCAGGCCTAGCAAGCGAATGGCGGATCTAGGCCAGGTTCCGTTCTCTTCCCCGACCAGCCCAAACCCGTTTTTCAGCAACTCGCCCGCTGTCAGCATCAACGACATCGCAGCTACGACCTCCGCCGCCGCTACCTCCGTCGAGAACGCGAGTTCCGCCGCCGGGCCTGACGGCAGTGGGCCGGCCGGAGCGGGCAGCGGCGGCGGCGATGGGTCTTTGAGGAGAGGGGAAGGCCGTCGCCTCAGAGGCGGGGAGGAGGAGTTTGTCGACGGACCCTCGTCTCTTGTGGGAACCGTCATGCCTGCGCCCCCCCCGTGGGTTTCCAGTGAGACGGTGGCGGTGGCGGGGGAGGGGACGCCTGCAGCTGCTCCTTCTCCGGGGATTGTCTCCCTGGCTAGCGCCGCGGGCGACGGGGTGGAAGCACTTCTGCTGGTGAGCGAACGAAACAACGTGCGTTGAGAATACCCTTACTCCGTTGTGAGTAAAGGTCCCTGAAGTGGTGAGTAACCGTTCACCAACGGAGGTAATTTCGCTCTTATTGCAATGTGGCAAGGAATGGCCAAGCGTGGCTGACGTTAGTCGGCCTTGCTAGGTTGAAAGGCGAGAGTGAGCGTCAGGTCCCGCTTCCACCCTCCGGCTGGTCACAGCAGACGGAGGGTCTTTTCGTTGTAAAGATCTTCAGAGCTCGAGTCGTGCCGAGGGTCACGGATCTAGACTATACGGTTGTATGTGCGTCCTTACTAATACTGGGAAGATACCTATATCTTGGTTTCCACAGCGTTTTACTCTACGGAGCAGTAGCGGTACACAGTAGTGAAACCGACACGGGCTTACGGGTTGGTGTCCACCGCAATAGAGTACTGGTGTCGCCATCCCCTTTGCTACTGCATGCTCGTTCTTGGTGCGATTATGTTGTCGCGATAGCGTCGCCGTTTTTGCCCGCCAGGAGGGGGCATCCGTACGCAACCGCTCTTCCGTCCTGCGGCCGGTCGGCTTGTTCAGCGGTTGTTTTTGCGAAAAACGCTCTCTCTCCAACCAGCGAACCCTCTTTCCTGTTTTCGTCACTAAAAGCACGTTCTCCTCCACAACCACCTCCGGTCCTTTGCTGCTTGGCTGTGTTGCTGCTGCCCGCCCACCGTCTTTATGTACCCCCCCCCCCCCCCCCGCTTCCCAACACAAAAGTCGCACGAAAAGGGTACTCCTGGATCGGCGGGTCGGGGAGGGTACGGGGCAACATTGGCGACTGCCGGGGCGGGAGCAACGCAGGCGAGAACCGAGGAGGACGAGGAGCTCACGCCCTCGTCATCGCCGAGCAGGAACAACAAGAGAAGA